TAATCTGTACAAAGAAAAGCACACATTCTTTGCAAAGCATCCTTACAAAAAATGGAGTTTAGGGTGAACAGCCTCATAAGTAGCAAATTGGAAAAATTGGGGCTTGTCTGACAAGTTCCTTGGTTGCTTTTAGGAAGTTTACTATGAATTTGCTATTATTAATGATTAAAAAAGCAGCTTGAGCTAAGAAAAAAAATAAAACACCTGTGTCACTGGGCATTTTTTCATTTTCATATGACTGGTTTTTAGTTTTTGCTGCTGCTAATTAGTGAGCATTATTTAACAGAGCATTAAGCTGGGAAACTTAATTCAGAACAATTTTGGAAGCTATGAGAAAAGGAACCCAATAAGAACCAGTCATTTTGTGAAGCGAGAGACTGGAGGACTAATGATTGTTAAAAATAGCTGGGCTGTCTCACTAGCTGCTTGTAAGGCTTAGTAAAAGTACATAGAATTAGACTGTAGCTGCAAACTTTCATAGGAGAATGCAAGGAAGTATTTCTAAGCAGTGATGCCAATTAGACGCAGGGCTGGCTGGCTGGGGTGGTTGTGAAACTGCCTTTTCTGGGAATTAGTCATGGCAAGACTAGACAAGGAGTTGTGTGGAAGCCTCAGCCAAGAACGGCAGACCTTTGCTTGGAATGAAGTACATGGCCAGGATAGCTTTTCCAGCTTGTTACGTCTCTGCTCTGACTTCACGTGAAGGGCATTGTATGGGTTGTAAGTTGTGTAAATGGTGTTAAGAGTTTCTCTGTGTCACAATACTCCTTTCTGTGGTGAATGGGAGGGAATAAAAAATGTCTATTGCTGTATCAATAGGGAGCTTTTCTCTTAACAGGGTATGGGATGAACCTTCTGCCCCTGACAACTTGATTTTTCATGGCACAGGAGAGCAATCTCATTGTGTTGCTCCTTATGAGAAGTGGGAGTCAGTGCTGATTCACCCCCCTCACCATTAACTGCAAAATTAGATACAGGATCTGATATGCACATGTCCATACATACATATTTGAGAGCAAAATGAACTGTGGCCTTCTTTGGGACACAAGGAAATAAACACAGTCATTAAAGAGTCAGCACCGTTACCACATAGTGAACCTTTACTCACTGTTCCCACCTATTGTTATTTGAAATACCCCGTTTCCTGTTTTCTGTAACTGTTGCCAATGGTCAGGATTCAGATCTCATTCACATCAGAGTAACTCTGGTAGCTTTGGGACATCAACAGGGAAAAGGAAGTGAAAAGCAAAGTGACTATGATGAAGTAACCCTGAGTTTCCACTGAAGTGCAGAGGGTTTAGTCCCAGTCAGTGCCAGAGCTCAGCCTGGCATGTAGGAATTCAGGGAAATTGCTGTTTGCTGTGTAAGCCCCTGTCAATACACTCACACTGCTGTCATTACTGCTATTGTGCACTAGGATGACAGCGAAAATAAAATGAAAAATACTTACTCTGTACGTATCTGAGATGAATGGGCATATATAACATATAAACACACATAATAGCTAGTTACTTTTGCATTCATGGAGGCTTCTTGGGTCCTCATTATGAAACTCTGAAGTCATAAGAAAAATTTGAATGACTGTGTAAAAAGTATTTTTCCTGAATTTTTGTATTACAGCCTGGTTAGAAAAAAAAAAGAAACAAAAAACACCAACCAACCAAACAAACAAAACCCAAACAAAAAACCTAAGCAACAAAAAACCCCACCCTTTGTTCAAAGTGTGGGAGAAAGGATTTTTTATCTGAATTCCGTAACAAATAAGCAGAAACACACACATAACTGAAGGATCAGACCCATAAAGGTACCTCTCAACTCTCAGTCATTTTTCTCTACACATAAATTTATGGGAAATGTAAATGCCAGTAAAGCATTGTGAATTAAAAAAAAAAAAAAAAAAGACACTGCCCCCAAAAACCAAAACAAAAAACACCAACCAACCAACCAACCAAAACCCAAACAAAAAACCTAAGCAACAAAAAACCCCACCCTTTGTTCAAAGTGTGGGAGAAAGGATTTTTTATCTGAATTCCGTAACAAATAAGCAGAAACACACACATAACTGAAGGATCAGACCCATAAAGGTACCTCTCAACTCTCAGTCATTTTTCTCTACACATAAATTTATGGGAAATGTAAATGCCAGTAAAGCATTGTGAATTCTTGGCTGGTATTATCTCTGGGTCTCAGTTCCCTAACTATACAGAAAGGATACTACTTCCTTCCTTCATTCTATGCCAAATGTAAGCTCTGGCCCAGAAGAGAGATTATGGCAGAGCCAAAAAATTAACTCAGCTCTTCTGAGTCCTAATCCAGGCTTGATATCATAAACTCATCTTTCATTTGCTTTTGAATAACAACCAAAGTGTTAACCTTATACCCATACATTTGCAAGCTGGTTAGTTCTTATCTGTGGTGATCATTGTGTATCCTGCTGGCAATTTCACAGCCTTTTAAAGCTTTTTCCTCCTGAATACTTTTTTCCTTTCCCCAAGAGATAGGCAGCTTCCTTCAAGACTTCCCCAGCTAAGCTTGCCTGTCTTCTTTGGTGGTGTGTGCTCTGTGATCTTCACCTGGTGCAGAAATAATCTATGATTATTTTTTATTTACATGTCAGTGTTCTCTGTCTTCTTTACCTGTTATTTGCATCTAATCTTTCTCCCTTAAAAATATGTGAACTTTTTTTAGGAGATGTCCTAGAAGATTTTTGTCAAATTAAAATGTTTTGTTTTAAATGAGCCCTTTTTGGAGTTTAAATGCTCAAGGCAACTTGCTTTTTTCAAGGGACAATGAAGTTAGTAAGCACAAGAGAAACCAAAAATCTTTTTTTCTCCATTTTTTCCATTCTCTTGTAGTTTAGGGAATTTATTTAAGTGGGGATTTTTTTAAAACCTCATTTGACATTCATTTGGAAATCATGAATTTCAGAGGCATGATAGAAATCAAAAGTTGTATTCAAAGCAAATAGATTGTCTTCTTGTTTTAACTGGAAGGAGAAAATTTTTGACCAGGAGATCTTTTTGGTATCATCTGATTTAATAGGCAATCACACTTTTGTTTATAGAATGCTGATGGTACCCTTGACGTAAATGTGTGTATGTTTTGTAAATTTGAATGTAAATGTTCTAATTTTAATAAAAGTAAGAAGTGCTTTCTCATTCTTTTTAAATATCGTCATTATGAATGTCTTCAATACAGTAAAACCCTGAAGAGTTTTTCTGATTTTTTGGGTCTTGTCCACTTGGAAACTAATCCATGAAAATGAATGTGGAAATAATTTGATCAAAACGTTACACACATGAAAATTATTAAGACACCATCCTGCACATGTGAGTTGCTAAACATTTACTCAGTGGTAACCCAAACTATGCAATAGTCAAGCAAATTGGTATAAGATGCTGTGGTGGTTTTGCTCTACACTATGCCTACAGAAGCAGTCATGCTAGGAAAAAAACATGAAAATTATACTTCTGTAGTTATTATTCTTCATTGCCTATATTGTGATAACACCTAAATGCATCATCAGTGCTGAATGCCATTGGGCTACATGTGGAAAGAACAAACACTAAGTGACAGTCCTCATCCCAAAAGGATTAGTTAAACATGATTTTAATTAGGACTGATTGGTGCCTTTATAGAGTCTATTTCTGCCACTAACGATTTCAACATACAACATATTAATTACAACTGCATTTTTCCCAGTATCATCAATAGCTGATCTCAGGGATGTCATCTGGGGGCAGGATGCAACATGGCAGTTTCCCGTCTTTCAAGGGGTCCCAGCTGAGCTGAGTCACGTAGCAGTGGGAATGGAAAGGAGGAGGAGGAAGGGGCTGGCCCTGCCACTGCCTGAGTCAGTGATGCTCTTGTTGCTGCATTTGAATGCTTGGCTTTTGATGGGAACTGCTGGACTCATGATCTGTCTTGGAGGCCTCATGGTGCTAGCCAAGCTGTGAATACATCCACACAGCCAATCCCTTGCCTGTTTTTGGAAAAAAGATAACAGACAAAGCAGGGTAAAAGGGAGCTACACTGTTCCTAATTTGCAGAGCAGGAGATCTGAAACACCAAAAGTTTGTCTACACAGGGAGAATTCCACTGCTGTGAGATTCTCAGTGGAAATGTTTCCTGCTCACTGACAAGCAGTATCTGTGTCCAGATGAACAGATGGCTTTTGCTTCGTGGTTGTTGCAGGGTGGGAAAGGCCTCTGAAGTAAGAGCTTTGGGGGTTTCTATCCTTTGCTCCTTTGTGCTGTTGCTGGGCCCAAAGCACTACGGAATTGCTCTCTAGCTTTTGGCTGATGTACATAGTGTTATTTTTTAGTGATATGGGCAGCAACTGTTGAAAAGGCCATGTTTCTTTTAGGGAGGTTGTCTTATAATTTGAAAGGGAATATTCGTCAATATGATCACAGGGGAGAAGTTGTAGAAGGAAAAAGAATAACTAGTCAGAGTGTTGTGGAGAGCAGTGAGGGCAGTGAAACACAAAAATGTTGGGCATTCTCCTTCTTCAAAGGTGAGTAAAAACTTCTTATCTGAATGTTTAAAGACACCAGCACACAATGGTGCATGTGTACAGATAATTAAAATACCATCAATTCCCTACCTCCAAGAACTGTAACTCAGAGCATGTTGTGTCTTGGCACTTTTGTAAAGTATCAGACAATGCTATAGATGGTGCTCACAAATTAAAATGACACAAAAATCAAAAATTAAAAAAAATGCAATTAAATGTGAATAAGGTCTCCTGGAGGTTTTTCTGAAATAGAAACACTGCTTGCTCAAGTAAAATTCCTTTTAATCCAGTAACTTTCTATCTTCCCAAATCCCTGTGGGATGAAAAGATGAGCCTTGTGGCATGCTTGGAAGGTTAATGAATGTGGACTCTAAACACAGTCTCGGGAAGTACTTCTTATTGAAAGTATGTTATGGAAAGTGTTTAAAAAAGGGTACTAGTATGAGCACTTCTGTGACTTATAAGAATAATTCTACACAGTGAGTAAACATGATTTTTTATTCGCTACTTCCTCTGCCATTGAAATACAGTACTGTGAATATCATCCACAGGTAAATAGCTCCTGCAAGCACTGAACTCAGCTGGTTTCATGCAGTCCTGCTTTGTCAGAGAGCAGCATTCAGCAGTAGCTCTTAGAGCTGAATAACCATGGGGGTAGCTTCAGGTAGAGGGCCCAGCATCCACCTGGAACTTAATCTGCACATAGCCAAAGGGCAAGACACCTGCCACAGCCTCTCCAGCCGGAATAAGTGGTTGTGCTTGTCTGGCCAAAGAAAGAGGTGTTTGCCAGGACTGTTATTTAACCTGCAAGGTGCATCCTGGGGTCCAGCAGTGACTCAAAACACAAACCTCCCATCTCAGACTGTAACCCAAAACAGTTCTTTCCAATCCATTCTGTTGCTTCCGACAGTGTTTCCATGTTGATTTTTTTTTTTTTTCAGTCTTGAGACACATCCATGTATCCATCATCCATGCTTCAGTCTTGAAATGGCATGTGGAACATTCATTTTCATACCAGGAGGCTGAAGTAGGACAGAGACAGATAAATACACAACATGTGTAATTCTTTTATCCATCATAATCTCAGTGGATATACTTTTATTTCAGTACAATTGCAATAGTACAGATGACTTACACAAAATCTCTAGAGCAACAATCTCTTTGTCAAATGACTGTTCTTTGAAAATTCAATATAATGGCAACTCCCAATATATTTGATTACTTGTAAAATTCCCTTTTTCCCTAGCCCCTCAAAAGTTCTTCATGTGCCTGATTGCATCTGACACTCACACAACTGCTAAAAAATTTAACCTTTATTTTTAATTCTAAGACCATTTTCCTGGAGACAAGCGAATAGGTGACAATCTGAATTCTAACATGAAAATAATAGGTCATCACTGGATTTTTACATTTGAAGAAATCCCAAAGTGACCTGGTCAATAACTGCCCAAACCTGACACTGACACACCTGTGATATAAGAAAATTTGAAGTTTTAGACCAGTATAATGAATTTTAAGAAGACTGACAAATAAAATTTAGGATTTATTTAATGTATCTGTAGGATGTTGGTTTTAGTATTACAGGAGATCATTTGGTTTCTTTTCATGTTTTAATATTACCTCAATCAGGTTAAAAATACAGAATTATGGTCCTTCTGCTGTCTTCCCAAGAGATTTCTCTGGTGTCTAATTTAGATTTCATTAGGCTAATATATATCATTAATTAGACATTTCACTAATAAAAGAATAGATTTTCTCTTATCAAGAGAAAATCTATAGATTTTTCTCAAGGGAACTCTGACAGATCTAATTTTCCTGGACTTCATGAAAGAATTTGAACTGATATTGCATGTAGAATTATTATTAATATTTCCATTCCATATCTTGGCAGGCAGGAGAAGTAAGAATGTAGTGATGAAATATACTTGTGGCACAAACCAGGGAGATTTTGTCAATACAGAGATGGATTGTACTGTAGCCCCACAGGAAAAGAAATGGCCTTGAGGACTGGGGTAATACCAGCTGAAAGGGAAAACCAGTTTAAATTCAGTGTCACGCACTTATGTACCAAACCCAAGGATTTATTTTGCACTGTAGGAAATCATCAGTTTGTCTTGACAGAAGAACGAGTAGGCCATTTAATCTCTGATCAGGAGATCACCTGATCGTGAGATCAGGAAGAATTTCATCTGGTGGCAGGAAGGTAAATGAAGTCGTGGGGTGCAAAAGGCATTTCCAGAGTTAGATGCTAATGTGGAAAATCCTAAGCTGCATCATGTCTGGAGCCCCATATCTAACGGGAAATACACTGCATGAGCAAATAGCAGAGAAGGGTGACGTAGCCTAGAGAACTTTTGTTGAGAGAGAGAGAAATACAAAATTATGTTCATTTAGGCAAAGAGAGATTTTGTCCTCTGAATGAAGAAGAAATATCAGAGAGGAAGAACATTAATAAACATGACAGGCAAAAGAAGAGTTGCATAGAAAGTAGTTATGCAAAGGTTCTGATTGGAAGCTAGGATGTTTTATGTATTTTGTTTGGACTGGCAATTCTTGTAGTAGGGGTAGTGGAATGAAAATCTCATTATTAACAGTAAAAGAAGTCAGCCCTGCTGGATCAAGTGAGTGCTGTATCAGTTTCAGTATTCTCTTGTTCAATCATGATAAATTTTGTGCAGAAATGCCAGGAATTCAACCTCAGAACTTGTGATAATGAAGGACTAGATTCACACTCTCCCTTTAAAATAACAAGGACAAAAGCCCAGTGGCAATATTTTAAGAGAGGGAGAGTTTGTGAGGCTGTGTGCTTCCTGCAGTCCATTCCTTTTGTACTCCCTTAGCATTCAGTACTGCTGGACTAGTGATGTTAGATACTACACTTGTGCCTTAAAAAAAATCTGTTTGTAGATCTGTTGTCCATGAATTTAATTTCTGTTTGTTTCTTCAGTGTAATTTTATCAATGATTGTCTGTTTAGGGGTTTAGGCTCTATATGTGGACATGCCCCGTCCACTCATCTCACATGTTGCAGCTCTGAGCAGCAAAAGTATTTACCATGCTGGACTCTTGTGATTGCATGTGTCACCCTTGTGTCATCATGAAAATCCTCTACTATGGGACACTTTTAATATTAAGATATGTTTAGCTTCTTAGGAGCAAAATATTATGTTTCTATAGCATAGAAACCAGTATTCGGATGGCACCACAAGTTCTTTAGTCACTAAGCAATATTTGAAACAAATAAATATGCATTCAATTTTTAGGACACATAGCAGACATATTTCAGCCTTTAAATAGGCTTTTTGCCTTTTGAAATAACCACTCAGCTAGAGCTGTTATCTCAGTTCTCACTTTCAAGCTCTACCAAGCAGCGAGGGCCAGCGGTGATTGCCCAGCAGCTGCGCGGCACCCAGCAGGAAGCAGGGGAAGTTTAGTGCAGTTTGCAGCGCCGTTGTTTAAAGGACAGCCGCGACTGTCCTTGCGTGAGTTTCAGATAACGGAGCTGGAGGCAGATCTGAGCTGGCACTTACTCACCTCCAACACACCTCAGTCTTTCAGACTCTCCCCTGGGAGTGGATATTCCATTGTCTGGCATCTTCTCTTCAACAAGGCTGCTCTTGTCGTCAGGGTGACTGTTCTCCATCATCGCTGGCATTTTGCCTGTACCTGCCACGTGTCCTTGGATGTCATGCTTCCTATCCTTATTGTTTATGAGTTCAGGTAGTCATAAAGAACTCAGGAAATGTCTTTCTGGGAACCCCCAAATATTTTTAAAGGCCTGTTTGGTTTTTTTTTAACTTTCCTTGCTCATACTTTTTTTTGCTTAGATTTTTCAAATAAGGTTTGCTTTCCTCTTTTGTCTATAATATGTCACATTTCTCAAATCAAAGCTGCAAATGCTTTCATAAATAGGCAGAAGTATTGTCTGCCTTCACTTCTGTTAGTAGAATATCTCTGCTGCAATAATTTTAACAAGGAGTGCATTGAATTTATTGAACTTATTCACAAAGCATGTTTATGACCATTGTAGTGCTGGCTCGGCAGCTTCTCACTCTTCAGAGATGGAAACACATTACTGTTAAGAACGGTGTACAGTGATTGCTCTTTCCCATTTTGTGGCTAACAGGAAGTATGTTTAAATTGTGGCATGATAATAGACAGCTCAGAAGAGGAACTGGAGCAGAAAAGCCTGTTGCATAAATGGTAGAATTTTATAGTATTGAGTAAATGTTTATAATCTGTAGTGGTGAGTTTAGAATTCATGACAAACTGCAAGCATATGATTTTTATTTTTTTCTTGAGGACAAGGATTAAAGGATAGTTGAAATCCTATTTGTACTGGCAAGTGATTCATGTTTGCAATTGACATCCAGAGGTTCTGGTAGGTGCTGGACTTGTGGCTCATTGGTTAGATGATATTGAACAAGATTTTAACCTTTTCCAGGCATGCACAACCTCAGATCACAATCATATTAAGAACTGAGGAAAGGGATGATTTGATGTCTTTAAAAGTCAGTTCAGTATCCTGAGCTTTAGTTTGTCAATAAATTTCATGAACTCTGCATGTGAGATGGGAAGGCTGAAGAATGTTTTTGAGCTTTCAGATTTAACAGTGCAGCACAGCTGCATCCCAGCTCTCTGTTAGTATTCCTGGATCCTGCTTTGGGCTGTGTTTTTGCTACTGCACGTTGCTGGGTCATTTTAAGCTTCTCATCCAACAACACCCCCAAGTCCTTCATCTCTGGGCTGCTCTCAAGCCATTCATCCCTCAGCCTGTGCTTGTCCTTGGGATGGCCCTGACCCACATGCACGGCCTTACACAGGACCATGGTGAACTTCAGGAAGTTCCCATGGGCTCACCTCTCCAGCCTGTCCAGGTCCCTCTGGATGGCATCCCTTCCCTCCAGTGTGTCAAACCTGCTGAGAGGGCACTGACCCCCCTGTCCCTGTCACCAAGAGAGACCTTAAACACCACTGGTCCCAGAACTGGCCTCTGAGGAGCAGCTCCCACCACTGTTATGCAGTGAATAGAGTGAAACACCATTGTACAGTGAGACCCTTGGGGAAGTGGACAGTATTAGCAAGAGCATACTTTTTCTACATTAGCTTATTATATAATTTCAGTATAACACATTTTCTCTATTAATTCCTGGAATTCATAAGAGTTTGTTTTTCTCTCTGGTTATTGCTTCTGTGGCCCTGTTAGGATCACTTTTAGATTGAGTTAGGCAAATGAAGACCACTTTCTGAAGCACTTTTTCTAACTTGAGTTTCTGTGTCTTTAGTTTCAAGGAGAACTTGTCTCCTATGCAGCCCATTTCCTTTTTCAGTTCTACAAAATTTCTGCAGAGTTTCTTTATTTCCCTTATTTTATATGATGCAGTACATATTGAAGAGAAAATACATCAAGAATATGATTTAATAGGTCTCTCTGTGTATGTGTGATATTCGAATTCCACCAAAAGCTTGTGTATTTTATAGAGAATTCATTCTGCATGCCCAAAATGAGTTTTCAGAATCCTTCTATTTTGCAGCTTGAGGCCATTAAAATGCATTGCAGCAGCATCCCAAATGTATACAAGTGAAAAAATATTTTGTTCTTATGAAAAAGCAACCTGTATTAACTTCCTAAGTTTACAAATCATGAATATTGTTAGTGGGTACTGTGCCTTACAACAAGTTAAAATAATATCCTGTCCCAGAAAAAAAGCAATTAAAAAAAAAAATAAATAAAATAAAACCAGGCCACTAATCTCAAAAACTCAGAATGCTTTCTCCATCCCCATCTCTTGGGTCAGCCAGCCTGATGTGAAGCTGGGAGGTGCACACAGTAACAAGCATGTTACAGTTTATCTGTTCCTGTCGACTGCTGCTCCTGGCTGAGTGTGCTAAATCAGAGCTCTGGAGGCTCTATTTCAGTAAGAAATATAACATCAGGGCTGAAACTTGTCAGTTCCTAGATTAAGGCTTCACATATGAAGGAAGCCCATTAAAACATGAGTACTTTTGAGAACACATGCGGATGGAGGATTTGTAACCATAAAACTGACACGGTTCCAATGGAAGATAGCAATATATTCGTGCCTGTTGAACATAACGCAGAGAAAGCCGACTCCAAGCATTCATATATTAAATGTGAGGTCCCAGAAAAGTACAGCATTGGCTTTAAAGCAGTGAAATGTAGATAATAAATAAGTTCCTTTTATTATCCTTCAAGTGTTAAAGCACCAAGGGTGTATGTTTCAAGTCTGTCTGAGCAAATATGAGATATATGGAAAAGTTACATATCTATGTGTGAATATTCAGATATAAAATTGTGGTTCCCAGTTGTTTTTTCAGACACTTGTACCATGAGACTAGATATGGGATAGGAAGAATTTTGCTGTAGAGCTGAAATGATTTTCATATTATGTTCTATGGTTATACAGTTGGGAAAAGAAACATGGTTTCTCAGATTTAGTTTTAAGTTATGAATAGATAGCAAGGCTTTGTCCAGCACTTAAAGATGTTAAAATCACTTAATTCATGGCAGTGCTTGGGTAGGACATCTGACTGAAAGCACACCATGAGAGCAGTTAAACCCTGGAAGAGTTTGATTGAAATGCCTTTCTTAAATAATGTGCCACAGTATTTTGAAATGTTAGGGTCTGATTGTCAGTATATTTAATAGGTGTAGCACTGGCGTTACTTAAGCTTCTGCAATTTGAAATCACAGAAGCACACCCTGTGGTTTAGTAGTTCTGGGCAGATGGTGGAACAAGGTAGCTATTTTTTACTGCTAGAAGATAAAAATGCTATTTGACAGAGCACAGAAAACCATGTTGCTTTAACAGCAAAATTATGAAATCTTCTGTTTTCATGGGTTGGAATCATAAAATGGTGCTTGTGTCACAAGGAAGATAACAGTGAAATGATGTAGGGTGCTGAGGCTTTTCAGGATATATTTCATTTTATGCTGAATTGTAAATTCATATTCACTGCAATGGCTTTCCAAATAAGTTAAATTTTTTACACATTTAAAAAAGTAGTGTGTTTTGATGTCAAAGAAGAATGCTGGAGGCCTGGTTGTGTTCTTGCAGTGCCTGTTGCAGGAAATTGTCCAGAGTTTTATTTTTAATACCTAAAATTAGACTCTGGGTACAGTGTGGAGGCAATAGATAAACACTGTTGCTATAGAGTTTTTAAGTTAACCCATGAACTCTTTTTTTGGCTGCTCCCTGCCCAAGACAAAAAGCTGGCATTAGTATTTATATGTTATTTATATATTTGTATGGGATATTTGAGTCATTGTAGTGTGGAGTATAACACTTCCTTGGCATTTTAAAAATACAAAACTTACAACAGACCAGGAAAATATTCAGAAGATGATGAAATCCTGTTCCAGGAGTGCTGCAGCTGGTGGCATGTTTACTCTCTGTTGTTAGAGGGGGAATTTGAATTTGGCTTGCACAGTTAGTTTCTTTTTGTGCAACTTTTATGCAGTTGTGAACTGTGCTTAAAGGTACTTGTGCCAAAAATTATTAACAGCAGTGCAGCATTTGAAGGAAAACTGTTTTTTTTCTCTTTCCACACAGTTATGTGAACTTATATGTAATGCAAAAGATACACACTGTAAGTGACAGTGCAGAAGCAGAGAGGGAAAGAAACTGTTCTGGGCTAGGCTGGGTGCCAGGTATTAAGAGAATTTTTCTTTTACGCTGATTTTAGGAGAAGCAGCATAACACCATGTGCCATTTATAAGTACTTGAGGAAAGATCATGTAACAGGCCGTTACAACAGGCACATATTTGCTTCAGCTCTAATGCCTGGGTGAAGTATTTTTACTTTAACTGTAGCAGCGACATCAGTCATGTTAATTGTCATGGAAAGTTACTGGTCCAGACACAAATCTCCTCACTCATCCTCATTCTTATGATGATAATGTGGCTGGCTATACTTTACTCACCCATGTGGGAGAATTCTTGCCCTGGGGGGGGGGGGGGGGGGGGGGAGGTTAAATTTTGTACAGGCAGCAAATTTTAGAGAGTTAAAAGGACAAGAGGTTCCGGGGGGGGGGGGGGGGGGAGGTTAAATTTTGTACAGGCAGCAAATTTTAGAGAGTTAAAAGGACAAGAGGTTTCCAGATACCTTGCATTAGACTGAGTGGTTATTCCTAACCATAAATGTTTAACTACACTCCCTTAGCAAATCACTTTCAAAATAGATATTCATTTTCAAACAAAACCAGTTGCCTTGTGAAACTGTTGGTTGGTTAGGGGGAAAAAAATGACCTAATGCTTCTGAATAAAATATCTGATCTCCTGTTGCCAAGGCTGAGTCACTTCCTGTTACAATAACAAGACTGTCATCAGCAAACTTCTCTAGCCACACAGTGGAGCTTGCCAGCGTGTGCATGGCTTTATTTGTCCATGTTGTTAGAAAGTTACCGTTGAAAAACACACTGTACTAAATTTGGAGGCACCAGCTTTGCATTCAAGTGCGTTAGTGTCGGATCTGGGTTGCATTTACTCCTGGTAGTATAATATCTTATTTCTTTGTGCAACATAATAATATCCACCCAGCTGTGTACAGTAATGTTGTAATTCTATCAAGGGATTCTAGACACAACATAGTGCATTAATATCATCAGAGCTTTCTCAACTGGAATCTGCAGGATCA